AGTATAGTGTAAATATAATTTTTATTTGCACTAGAAAACCAAAAAATTCACATGACTCACTTTATTGCAGTGGGCTGGAACCAAACCCTCAATACCTCCAAGGTACGCCAGTATTGGTGAGGTTGTTCCATAAAAATTTGTTTAGACTTGACCTAGGCCAGACCCAGTACTGGTGCAGAAATGTGAATCATGTATATTCCTGCTCTCATAGAATTCACAGGCTGTGGGCGCAATGGACATGATCACACACAAAGGCAGAATTGTTCAAATGTAAAAAAAGAAAAAAGTGCATCTTAGAGTCAGTGAAGGTGTTTCCTGAATATCCGCTCTGTGTCTGGCCAGGCTGGGAGCAAGGATGGAGACAGCCCTGCCCCCGAGGGAGGAAGTCGATACGACAGATACTTACTACGTGCCAAGGGCCCCTTGGCGGATGTTCAGAACCCAGTGGTGACTGAGGTGGCCCCAATCCTGTTTCCACAGGACTCAGTCCAAAGGAGAACACGGACCCATCCCAGACAGTGATGACTAACAGTGGTTAAGGTGGGAATGGCGTTGCCCAGAGGGGTGTGGGAGCCACGGGGATGCCTGACCCAGCTTGGGGGGCTGGAGATGGAGTCAGAGAAGGATTTTTGGAGAAAGTTCATTCATTCAGCACATGCTTTCTGGACGCCTACTGTGTGCCAGGCCCTGGCTTGTTGAGGCTGGAGACATAGCAGTGACCAGGACAGCCCCTGGACCATCCCTCATGAAGCTCCAGTCCTCTGCCATTCCGCCTGCCCACCCCTAATCCTTCTCCTTTCCTCCTGTCCTTTCTATTTGTGTCCCTCGGAAATCCTAAAGCACTTGCCTAGGAATCGTGGCCTTCACCTTCTCTCCACTCCCCACCACCCTGGGTAAACCTGAAGTTGGTCCCCAGGGATTCATTCATTCATTCATTTAAATATTGGCTGCCTTCTGTGTGCTAGGCACGGTTCTAGGCACTGATACAGTGGTCAATAAGACACAGATGACCCTTGCTGTCACAGAGCTTATATTTTTTAAAAAATACAGATAATGAACAAAAATAATTC